GGGGCGCTGGAGGTGGGCCACTCGCAGGGCACAATTCGAGGGTGAGAAAAATGCCGCCGCCACGGCATTCGAGGCAAGGCCTCGCAGGATCACCCCATTGACTTGCACGCTCTGGTGCAAGGGGCTCAATGGGGTAAGCCTGTGGGGCCTTGCCCTGGACACGTTGGGAAAGGAGAGCAAACTAGAGTGGCTTTGCTCTCCTTTTCCAACATCCCGCCGCCGCGGCGTTCAGGGCAAGGTCCCGCAGGATTACCCCATTGAGCCCCTTGCACCAGAGGGACCTGCCAAGCAAATCCGAATGGAGTGGTGCACCAAGTCAATGGAGTGAGCCTGAGAGAGGGGAAGAGAGAGAGGAAAGAGAGAGAGAGAGAGAGAGAGAAGGAAGAAGAGAAAGAGAAAAGGGACAGAAAGAAAATGGGATAGACAAAGAAAGAGGGGGGGATGGAAGGAAGGGACAGAAAGAAAAAGAAATAAAGAGGGAGGGAGGGAGAAGAAATATGAGATATCTATTCTAGTCCAAGCAGGGTTAGAAGGGAGTGTGTGTGTGTGTGTGTGTGTGTGTTCTCCTTGTAATTTACCAGTACATTTTGGTTTTGCCTTCTTCAGAATTGGCAATGTAATACATTGGGGGAAAGTAATTTTTTGGGTGGAGGTCTGGTCCAATGGATCCTGTTTAAAGCCTCAACAAAATGTGAGAGCTTGATCATGTTTCGTCCACAAAACCTTTACTAGAAGCCAAAGATGTTTCAATGTGTTGGCAAAGATGTTTCAATGTGGAAAAGGGCCTCTAAACTAGGCCTCATTTCAATCTGATGCATCAGGTCTCTCTCTCTCTCTCCCCCTCCCCCCTCTATCCCTCCACCCCCTCTTTCTTTGTCCCTTTTTCTTTCTTTCCCTTTTCTCTTTCTTTTCTTCCTTCTCTCTTTCTCTCTTTCTTTTCTCTCTCTCTCTTTCCCTCTCCCAGGCTCACCCATTGATTTGGTGCACCGCTCCACTCGGACTTGCTTGGGCAGGTTTGTCCAGTGCAGCGGCTCAATGGGGTGGACCTGCGGGGCTGGCACCTAGAATGCGGCAGCGGCGGCGCCTTTGAAAAATAGAGCAAAGCCAGAGGTCGGTAATTTTTGCTGCAAAGAATCACGAAAGCTTCTGGGCTGTGCACAAGAAGGGACACACATGTCAATGCAATTCAGCAACATAAAATAAAGAAATACAAATAAAACAAATCAACAAGAATCGGCAAAGCATCTCTGATTAGATTCTATTCACTACTAGAATCTAATCAGAGATGCTTTGCCGATTCTAGTCCAATGGCCTGCTCCAGCAGGGTTAGAAGGGAGTGTGTGTGTGTGTGTGTGCATGGCTGTCAAAACTCCAAACAGGTCAAGTAGTTCTGGGGAGGCCAGTCATAAATTAGAATACTTGCTAAGCAACCGGCCATTAAGTGAGGACCACTACTATTTGGTTTGCCAGTCACCAAACCATGCCCACCCAGTCACGTGACCAGCAAGCCACGCCCACCCAGTCACATGACCAGCAAACCACACCCTCAAATTAGGCCATGCTCACAGAAATTTGAATCCCGCCTATGGGTGGGGGGCATTGAGGATGAGTTTGTAGCACCAAGTGGGTGGTGGACTGAAAAGGTTTGGGAACCACTGGACTAGAGGGAAGATGGCATTGTCTCTGTGGCAGGAGGAAAAGAATGAACAATAGAATGACAGCTGGCAGCAAAGGTTCACTTAATCATAGCACAAAGATTTTGGTGGAGTTCAAGACCACAATCCATTACTATGGAAAAAACAACTGAGACTAAATTAATTCTTATGCTTGAGGGGCTTTCTAGAAGATTCTTAATATCTATTTGACTGCTGCCTGGATCTTGTAGATTTGCATTATCCAAACAAAAGCAGCAGTAGAGGAAAACAACATTCAGTTCCATATGTAGCTGGTGCAAATCCTTCTTTAGCACAAAAAAATGTGTGTTTACAGACGTAAAATCAAGATTTAAATCATTTAACTAGACTGAATTTCTTATGAATAAACAAGTGGAACGGACATCAATCCTGGTGACCCTAGGAACTTTGCTGCTGGAAGAAAGTCTGAACTATATCTGCACAAATATCTTTTTAACATACAAACTCACTCCCGGGGCCTCTGTGTGACCCATTTTTGGCCAGCAGAATGGTATTGGGTGCCGGGGAGGCCAAAAACAGGATGCATGGAGGCCTTGGGAAGCCAAAAATAGGCCTGTTTTTGGTCAGTAGAATGGTACTGGAGAATGGGGAGGCCAAAAATGGGATGCGCTGAGGCCTTGGGAGGCCAAAAACTAGCTCATTTTTGGCCAGCAGACTGCTACTGGAGGCGTGAGAGGGCTGGATTGGAGGAGGACTGCCTGCTTGTTCACTGCCAGCCAGCCTTTTGGGAAGACCGTGGGATTTTCCCACAGGCCAGCTGGTCTTTGGTGTGCTACTCGTCAGCCTCTGGACTTCAAATTCCCACCACCCAGCACCAGTTCAGGGATTCCTTCTCGCCCTCCCCAGAGAGAGAGAGAGAGAGAACAAGCAGGAGAGAGGGACACATATACCACACACACACACAAACACACACACAAAAACAGAAGTCCCTCACACACAAACCAAGACAGCCACATCCCTTCATTAACCTGCTTTCCAGCCCCAGGAGCATAACAAATTAAAATTTAATTTGTGTGTATTGTTTAATGGACTGCTAAATTGGCCATGCCCACACAGTCACATGCCCACCTAGTCATGCCCACCCAACCACATCGCCACCTAGCCACTCCCACCCAGCCGGTCCAGCCCCCCCAAAAATCTGAAGGACTGTGAATTGGTCCCCTGTTTAAAAGTTTGAAGACCCCTGAGCTAAGGAGACCCTCAAAAAATCACAACAAAATACTTTACAAAGTGATCCTTATAAATTATCAAATGCACAAAAGTTAATATTAACCATATTTAATACTTTTAGGTAAGCTTACACATATTAAATAAAATGCAATTTTGTTTTAGTCCCAACTATTTCTTTCAGTAAGACTTCTGGTATACCACTCAATGGGAAAATGACTATTCCTGCTTTAAGACCAGCTAAAACAGTGCAAGAGCATTCATCTTCCATATTTTTGAGTACTCTTAACCCAGCAGACATTTATAAGACACTACCTTATTCTTTGTCTTTTACTAATGAATTCATTTTAGAGTTTTGAAACTGTTTCTGCACCAAAAAGCAAGAGGTGTACATGCCTCCTTCCACTGCATGTTTATGTTCTCTGTCTATAAATCATCCAAAAGGTGGCGCTGTTGATTTGATTCAAGCAAGCTTCACCAGCAAAAGAAGAGCTTTGCGTGTACCTCAAAAATCCTCCTGCTGACTTTCTGTCATGTTGTTTTGTCTCCATGATCTCAAGGTTGGTTGCTCAAAGCAAACTTGAATTTCATTCCAACACAAATTTTTGATCTAGAAACATTATTTCTTCTAATTCCTATGCATATACTCTACCAATATGCAACTTATTATTGATGATTATTATAAAAAGAAATAAGATTTCCTTGTTGACTTTTTATGCTAAGTAGTTTTCTCAAAGGTTGAATATGTATTACTAATACTGAACACCCTAATGAATTTCCTGTTAACATTTACACTTCATAGTGTGGGTATAGTTTTGTCAGATTGCAGGTATTAGGCATGTGGCTGACAATTCAGTCCTATAGCCAGTGAATTCAAAGGAGTTACTCCCAGACAAGTTGGATTCAGAATATATTTGAATACTGCTTAAATTATGAAGAAAAAGAAAGCTTTGTTTGTCAGCTTAACTTAAATTCAGTCAACATCACATTTCTGAAATCAGTAGTAAAAAGTTCTAAACAGAAAAAGATACCCAGGCTGAATTTTAAATCCTATTTGAATTCACAGGACATTCTGACCCATAAGAATGACAGAGGTTGAACTTACATAGCTAAAATGCAATTGACAAGAGTTTCATTCAAATCAAGCCTCAGAATTAGAAAAGAATCCCATAAACCAGTGGTTCTTAAAATGTACCAGTAGGCTGGGGACCCCTGAGACCCTTTCAAGGGATCAGTGAAGACTAATGTTCCAAAATGTCTCAGTTTTGAATTATTAAATAAAATATCGACAGCCATATCCCACAGAAGCCAAAGTCCTCAAATGTTTTTAACAATGTAAAGGTGACTGGAGACCAAAATATTTGAGAACTGGCTATTGAATCCACTTTTAGCTGATACAATAAATCCAGATCTACAGTATTTTTTATATACGGAGCCTACTAAAGCAGATAATTGGCTCCAGTTATAAATCAATAGAATTGTTCCTAAGAAATTCCTCGTAATGTTCAACTTGTTTTTATTCCCCTGCAGCTGAAGTCCATAAGATCTATATTTGTCCTCTGTGACAACAAACATTAAACCGGATGAATCAACAGTAAACCTCGGAAAGTTATTTGACTTGGAAAACTCTTGGCGACCCAAGCCATGGCAGCAAAGAGGAAAATCCTTGCTATTATTTGAGTAATGTCCTTGTTTGGGGTGTTCAGAAATGGGACTTCTAAAAAGGCGATGGAAAGACAACTTTGTAAGGGCGAAAACCCTGATCTGAGCTGGGAACGCGGGCGGCTGTACTTTTTAGTTGAGTGAAATTCTAACTATCCGGACGACCGCTAGACGGCAGCAAAGACAGAAAAACGCAAGCCTTCGCCCCCGAGTTCTTGCCTCCTTGACCCGGTCATCTGAAACTGACATTTCTCCTGAAGTCTGAGGCATTCCTCTCCCCCCCACCGCCCCTTCCCCCATTGCGCACCACCCACATGCTGCCTCCACTTCTCGCACATTGATGGAGTAGCCGCTGAGACTTTTTGCGGAACCGTTCCCTCCCTTCGGAAAGGAAGATTTCCATGGTAAAAGACCCATGCCCCGGAAGCAAAGTGGCCATATTGTTGTTTGACCCTGGGATCTGTGCCGGTTACAGGAAGAGGCGGGGTTGAGAGCTCTGAACCGCGGCGGATTTCCTCCAAGGCATCAAAAACCGAGTCCGTTTCTTTTATTGCCGCCGCCGATTTGACGGATTTCCCGCCCTCTCACGGGTGAGTCCCAGCGCCTCCAAAATCCGTCCACTCGCCGTCCACGGCCCTTCCTAGGTTTCCCCGTGCGTGAGACCCAGCTCGGAGTAGAAGGAGGGTATTGAAGAAGGAGGAAATGTTTCCTCTCTTTCTAGATTCTCCGGATGGCCTTTCAGCTTCGTTAGAGGCACCTGTCCCTCTTTTTCCCCCGACCGCCCTCCCTCCTCCTGCTGTGGAAGGAGATACAGATCTCTACTACAGGCTGCTTAGTCATATTATTCACGTTTGGGGTCTCGCGTGAGGAGTTCATAACCAACTTTGTGGAAAACGTGTCCGTATATTTTAATAAAGAGGCATCTATTTCCTTACCGTTGTGGGAGGTTTAAGTCGAGCCTAGATACTCCTCTAATTGAGGATGGCCCTTCCTCTATGATTGCTAAATTACTCCGCATAACCTTTGGAGAGCAAGTCAGTTGAACAAAAGATTGCCCAGATTCCAAAATGTTGAATAATAAAATAAAACATCACAAGCTTGAGGCATGATATCTGAGGAAGGAATTGGGAAGCATATAAAGACTTGAAACACCTCACTTGGTAAAGTGGTAAATAGGTAAAAGATAAACTGGTGAATGAAAGATCCGTGTGGGTTTGAAATGAAAGCATTGCAGATTGTTCTGTTGATCATGTAGAAAATTAATGTCTGTATTATATACATGAAGGTAATATTTTATAATGACCACATATTTTAATTAGTTACTGTATTTGTGCTATGAATTACTGGATTTCTTTTTACAACTAGATTTTTTTTACTGATTCTTTTAGAATTAATGAAATAACTGAAATATAAATTCTCAAAAAAAAAAAAAAAAAGGAATTACTTCATTTTCTCTGTTTTGTGTGTCTTTAGTTCACTGTTCTTCAACTCGTCCTCCATGGCAACGTGGAGCCGTGACGCTGTGCTAAACCTTTATCGTGCACTGTTGCGGCAGGGACGTGGCTTGCGCTATACTGATCGTGATTTCTATCTCAGCTCGATCCGGAAAGAATTTCGCAAGAACCAGCATCTTACGTCCCCAGAAGATAAAGAGCGACATCTTAAAAAGGGCCAGGCTTTTTTGCACAGCAAACTTGGAGGGCTTATTTAGGAAAAAAAATTTTCTTGTCATATATTTCTTTCCTTTTATTTTCTTTAAATTATTTAGTAATTTGAACTGGATGGTCAGTATCAGAAGTCTGCTGCAAATCTGTAAAAAACAACCTCTCCAAAGTATCCCACATATATCCCTGGGAGCATTTCTCCCTTTTTGCAGATGCATTAAGCCTCAGGTAAAATATATAGAGGATGTATTTTGTTATTTTAATTATTATTTGTACAGATAAAAAGCTAACCTGAGTAATTAGAATACTGAGTAGTAGTCTGAGTAATTAGAAGTTAATTTTTATTTATAGTAATAAAACAATCCTAGCATGTTTGAAATTGGCATTATGAAGAATGTACTATATATGCTAATAATTACAAAATTAATGTTTACACTACAGAGGATGGATAAATTTATATCTAAATTTTATTCTTGTACTGGCAACTCTTACTTTGACTCCCCTTAAATTCTGGAAATTAGTTTGCCTAAGGGGCATCCATTGAAATATCAGTTCATAATTTTACAGTTCTAGTCTACCTGCATGCATTTTTTTTTGGTATTTCATCTCTAACTCCTAAATGAATTGTTTTTTCTCTCTCAGATCTTCATAAACCTTTTTGTGCAAGTATAACTTTTCCATCTACATTTTTTTCCTCCTTGACATTGTTTGCAATTATGTTTAGCCACTTCTTTTTCAGAAGTTCCCTTTCACCATGAAATCCTTTTTAAAAAAATAATAATTAGTCTCTGCTGCTCGGGAATTCTATTCATAATAGCTTTAAGCTTATTAATGTAAAAGAGGGTCTTATTTACATGTCAAATATTAACTAATGTGAATTTTAGTGCTTGGTCTTAAACAAATCTCACTTCAAGTCAACCTTACCCAGCCTACTATTTTCCAAAGGTGGTGGTTTTGGCTGAATGTTATTGGAAGGTCCCAGGTTATATTGAACAAGCTTTGAATATATTAATGACTGCAGTGATCTTATATGCTTCCTTCTTTGATTCCTTCTTTGGAAGAATGACTAACTAAATTGAGGAAATTGCTTTAATGTCTAGAATAATTTCATATTTAAAAAGTAAACTTAATATAGAATTCAGTTCTAATTGGAGACCATTTTTGGACTATAATCTTATACAACATGCATTTGTACCACACACCCCAATTTGGCCTTTTCTACATTTTTCTACATAGAGTCTGCATTTTAATTTTATGGAAAGTGATATTTTTAGTATTGATTAAAGTTTGTGATTTTAGTTAATGATTTATATTGTGTTAACTAGTACTGTGATTATAATTGAAATTACAAAACATGTTTAAGGTGATACATTTAAAATAAACTTAGCTTCAAATATTTAATATTTAGTAAAAGTCCATGGAATTAAAACCAACTAAGCACTGAATGGCAAACTGAACAGTATTTTGAACAGTATGCTGTTTCCCCCCCTTCCCCATGTAGGAGCAATGGCAGGCTCTGGAGAGCGCAAAGGAAAGAAGGATGACAACGGGATTGGCACGGCTATTGATTTTGTGTTGTCCAATGCTCGACTTGTACTGGGAGTGGGAGGTGCGGCTATGCTGGGGATTGCTACCTTGGCTGTCAAACGGGTAAGAAATGTTTATTTGTGTCAGATGCATCACAATTAAAATAAGACATACTATATGACATAACATTTAAAACACAAAATACAAGATTAAAAGAAAGAAATAATATAGTTGGTAAAGGAATATGAAGATTTATTGAGGTTGGAAAAAATGCAGTAGGGAATAGAGAAATTAAGTCTCATTAGGTCATATAGTCAATATTCTACTTTCACTCTCTGCAGATGTATGACAGAGCAATCAGTGCTCCAGCCAGCCCCACCCATTTAAGCCAGTCAGGAAAAAGAAGCTGGGAGGAACCAAGCTGGCTTGGGTCATCATCACGATTACTGAACCAAGACATGAAGACAAATTTTAGCCGTTCTCTGCAGACCCTGCCCACAGATGCTTCAGATTTTGAAATAGGTGAGAAATAGTCCAAAGAAAGAATATACACATTGAACTGACTTTATGCTATATTTAATGTATTACAATGGCTTTGTTGTTTGTCTCATTTAATTTTTTTTTAATAACAAAAGATATTCACTTCTGGATTGTCCCATGAATTTTCTTTCTCTCTTAAATCTTACGCTAAGGCTATTTTGTTTGTTAAAAAATACACATTCAGAACAGAATAATTTCAGTGCAGGAAATTTATACAAGCAATTTGCAGTAAAATATTTGGTTTTTCTTGATATTTTCTCTGTTGAATTACCTGAACAGATTCAGTCAAACCTATGAAGCATAAATCACCTGCTAAGAGAAGCCAGGTAGAATTGAAGAAATCCCGCCTTCGGATGTCCTTGCAAGAAAAACTATTTACTTATTATCGGAGAAAGGTGGCTATCTCTGTAGAAGAACAGATCAAAGCTAAGCAAGCTGCTGTGGATATCTGTGCTGAATTACGCAGTTTCCTCCGTACCAAATTGCCAGACATGCCTCTGCGTGAGATGTATCTGAGTGGTAGCCTCTGTGATGACTTACAGGTAAATTGAATGGGTGAAAAGCTTTAAATGTTCTTCAGCAAGAATAATGTTGGTAGAGATACTTTATCCCATTACCATATTCTTAGGGTTATCTCTTGATTTTTGTGTGCGTCTAATCTGATCTTGTGTAAAAAAAAAAAAAGATTCCTTTTTGGGCCAGTATCCACATTTTTGTATTCTGTATCTTTTCTACATCTGTTTAACAAGATATTTTCAAATTGTTTTAATTCACAGTATAGCATATTATTTTTACCTAGCATATGGTGTCCATGTGTTCTACTTTTCTATTGTCATTCAAAATAATAGTTATTTATCTTTTAAGTTTGCTGTAGCTACCTCTATGACTTCAGTATATCTAAAGAGGATACTGTATTGAACATCACTGATAATGCAACTGAAGTGTTCTTAGTATTCATAGCCTTCCTTCTGGCCTAGCTTTTCTCAACTTGGTGGCCATGTTAGTTGGATCATATCCTTCAATTATGAGGATTCAAATGCAAACATTTGGAGGGAGGCAAGTAAGCTAGCTGATAGGTGATAGGACTAGTCCTCAGATGTTTAATGCTTGCTTTTATTTCTCTTTGCTGCTAGGTTGTGACAGCTGATCACGTTCAACTTATTGTTCCTCTTGTGCTAGAACAGAATCTATGGTCATGCATTCCAGGTGAAGAAACCATTATGAACATCCCTGGCTTCTGCCTAGTACGTCGGGAAAACCCAGAGTATTTTCCTCGTGGTAGCAGTTATTGGGACCGCTGTGTAGTGGGAGGTTATCTTTCCCCCAAATCTGTATGTTGTACCTTTGAGAAAGTAGTATCTGGCTCCATCAATTGGCCAGCAATTGGATCCCTCCTAGATTATGTGATCCGTCCAGTCGCACCCTTAGAATCTCTGACTTTGGAGGTCCAGTATGAACGGGATCTGCACCTCCTAATAGACTTTTTACCATCTGTGACACTAGGTGATTCTGTATTGGTAGCCAAGCCACACCGCCTGGCCCAATATGATAATCTATGGCGACTCAGCCTTCGGCCAGCAGAGACAGCTCGCTTGCGGGCCTTGGACCAAGACGATTCTGGTTGCCGTTCTTTGTGCCTTAAGATCCTCAAGGCCATATGTAAACTGAACCCAGTTCTGCATCGTCTTTCTGCCAGCCAGCTTACCAATGTAATATTACACCTGACCCAAGAAGAAACTGATTGGTCACAAGATGCAATAGCTGACCGTTTTCTTCAGGCATTGAGAAAACTAATTGGCTATTTGGAAGAAGGAATTCTTCCGAGTGCTTTAAATCCCAAGGTGAACTTGTTTTCAGAGCTTACTACTGAGGAAGTAGATGAATTAGGCTATACACTGTACTGTTCACTTTCAGAACCAGAACTACTGCTGCAAATGTAACCGCTGCCTTAAGTGTGAGTTAGTGTTGGAACTTACTTGCCATGACAGTTTGTCTTCTGAGTGACTTATGCACATCTTGTCCTGGTTATTTTGCAAGTCTGCCTCTGTATTTTATTGATATTAAATAGGAGTGGGTGGGCTTTAGATTTGGTGCTACTGGTCTAGTTCCACTACACTCAGGGAATTGGAGGAAGAAGCAACTTTGAAGATCTGCTCAATTTGCTATAAAACATTATAGCAACTTTGAAGATCTGCTCAATTTGCCATAAAACATTATAGCAAATTGAGCAGATCTTCAAAGTTGCTATAATGTTTTATAGCAAATTGAGCAGATCTTCAGAGTTGCTTCTTCCTTCAGTTCCTTGTTGATGTACCTGCTGCTGGGAGTCCCAACATATGCTCTATTTCCTGTAATACATTATACTTTGCTGCCGTGAAAATTCTTACCTCCTATTTCAAAAGTGTAGAATTGCCACTAACAATTTTAAGAACCCCCCAAAGTATAATAAGGTTTGTTCCTATTGATTGGTGACTATTTTCCCCTTTTTATTCTCAAAGTGCTTGACAGAAAATCTTCAAGAAAAATATTCATAGCAGGATATATATTTGTGAATTCTGTACATTGACTGTATTTATATTGTCTAGAGGAGTTTTTTTTTTTAAAAAATAGCATGCTGCTTAAATTTATGTGACACTCAGAGTGATGGTAACCCCATATTTTGAAAACCGAGTGCATATAGTCTAGGACTTGCTGCTTTGTCAGATTGAAGTCCTTCACTGCACAAGCACATGCATACATACGAAGTCCTCAATACACTCTTGTTTGAAAAACTGGTAGCAGATTGCTAACTGATGCAGAAGAATGTAAGACGAGAAATTTTCATATTCACTGCTTTTGAAATTATTTGTCCATGTGTTAATTGTTTGAGAAATTAGGAAATATCACTAAGGCACAGAGCAAAAAAAGATTCTTGAACATTTAAACATTGAATGTTTAAACATTTAAACATTTTTCTTCTAAAAATGTTGTGCCTTAAAATCATAACAAAGAGTAGTTAAGAGGTGACTGTATGCAAAACTGAAGAGGGCAAATATGCTTTGGTTGACATAACTTCATTTGCTATATTGATATTAATAGTCAAGAGATGCCCATTCTGAATTTGAAGCACCTTTGCCCTCTTCAATTCTGAATATGGCATATCATTAGTGCTTGAGCTTCAAATTATTGGCTAGCTGGCGAACGTATGGATACTGATGTATACTTCCTGAAGGTTTTGTCTATAAACTCTTGGGCACAGGCATTTAGAAGAAATGACACTACTGGAAGAAAGCAAAATAGCTTTAAGTGGAAAATATATATTATGCTGTTTATATTTAAGGGAGGTGGCATAATATATATTTAACCAGTTTGATCCAATTGTATTCAAGAAACTATTAGTACATTTTCTCCTATGTGGTCTTCCATTCATAATTTAATAACCCTCTTCTTAATCTTCACTTATTCTTTGAAACGATACAACATTTAGGGAAGAGCTGCAATAGCTGTATCTCTTGCTTTGCAGATACAAGCATGGCATGGCGAATGTGTAATCTCTTGGGAATATATGGTTTATTAATGCTGCTATCATCTGGTACTTCTTCCATCTTCTCCCAGGGAAAAAAAATGAGGAGGTACTCTTAAGAGATGAAACTGTCAAACCTGCATAACAAGTATTACTACAATACATACATAATTCTGAGGGTTGCCTTGTTCCAAATATCCACCCTCAACATTAAAGGGCAGAGTGGATAATAAGATAATTTGCAGGTCTTGGGAATTGAACATAAATCTTCCATATTCTTTCTGTTGAAAGTGGTGCTTACTAAGGCTACATATGCTTCAGAACTGATTTGAAAGAAGGGGTTTGGTCCTTGTTTGCACAGAATCCTTGATACTCATTAAAGTATCCAGTTTTTTTCAGGGTGCTACTTAAAGAGTTGTGTTAACTTTAATGAATGGAATCCAAAAAGCAGTGGCATATTTTGGAAGCCTGAAAAAAATGAATTTAATGAATAGCACAGAGCTAGGTTTGTACAAGGCCCAAAATGCTGCTTTCAGATCACTGTCAAAATATAAACCTAGTGCTTATGTTATTAAGATAATCTTAAATTTAGTTGGAATGTGTAGGCTCCCAATTCTTTATGGAGAGTGCAACATATTTCATTTATTTTGAGATCAGATTGTCTTTTACAGACAGCATATATTGTGGCAATGGAATCAGTATTAGCCTAATCTAAATTTCAGTGTTATGGCCAAAGACATCTGTTGAGTGCCTGGCAATCTGTAACTGGGAAATATTTGTTTTTTACTGAATAATATACTTTCCAGAATACATTCCTCTCCCGTCTCAACCTTCCTACATGTGTTGATGAACACCTATACAGATACTATACGGTTAGACTTTGCTATGAAGCCCATTGTTCATCACCTTTGCTCCCTTTTTCCTTTTGTCTCTTAGCCTGCTGTTAGTTTAGAGCAGGGAAGGAAATCATATCTGAGGCAAGAATTAGAAGAATCCAGTATCGCTTGCATTCCAACTATTTTAAAAATCACAAAAATATTTTTGTTATAAGGTTGAATATATATATTGTATGTAGCTTTAAGCAACTACCCCTGTGACAGTAAGATGCCATTTTGATTTTTTTCACTTTCATGTCTTTTAACTGTTATTTCCTACAAAAGCAATGATGAATTGGGTTTTTTTCTTTGAAAGATGTAAAAAGGATTTAAGTCAATTTCATGATAAGGCTGATAACACAACAAATTGCCACTGCCATCAGTGCAAAATCCAAGCTGAAATATGTTGAGGGTTATATGCTTTGCATACTTGTGTTTGTGTTAGGCAGCTGTAAGAATTTCCCTGGAAAATTCAATTTGAAAACTTAGCATTTTAAACTTACAAGTATTCACTTAAATGGTATGTGACAACTTCCTAGTGGCAGGTTTAGTTTTTAGCTCAAAGTCTGTAAAACAATCAGAACATATTGATTCAGTAGTAAAGGGGTCCCCAAACTTGCCAACTTTTAAGACTTGTGGAATTGGAGTTGAAATCTTAAAAGTTGGCAAGTTTGGAGACATCTGCAGTAGTGTGAAGTACAACACATGGCCATTGGGAAGTGGGAAGCCAATGACAGCAGCTGATGGTCTCAAGCCAAGAACCCAAGTCTTCCCCTCCTGAAATATAGGTGTCAAACCAATCAGTAGGAACTGCAATTATGACTAGCTAGCTGAATAATAAAATTGTCTTCATTTGGCACTGTTGACCTCCCAGGTTTGATGATACTTGGGACATTTGCCCAGGCTGAAATGTATAAGGGTTGGAAGAGAGAATTCTAATGGTCTGTAACTGTATAAAAGTTGTGAAATAAAATCCTCCACAACCATGTGGCTCTTTTTTAATGTATCCTGGATATGTTTTTCTAATTATCTTTATGAAGAGAAAATACAATCAGATAATTGTGTAATCACCTTCATTTGTAACACTTAATGGTACAAAGAATGTTTTCAAAGTGAACTTCAACCTTTATAATGCTATGTCTAGAACTAAGCATAGAATTGCATCTCTGTATAGTAGTCCTTGACTTACAACCATTTGTTTAGTGCCCATTTGAAGTTATTAAAAGTGACATAACTATTTTTCACACGGCCATTGCAGCATCCCCATGTGCACATGATCAAAATTCAAACACTTATCAATTGATTCATATTTATGACTGCTGCAGTGTCCCAGGGTCGTGTTATCACTTTTTGTGACCTGACAAAGTCAGTGTGGAAGCCAGATTCACTTAACTCCAATGATTCACTTAACATCTGTGGCAAGGAAGTTTGTAAAATTGGGAAAAACTCACTTAAATGTCTCAGCAACAAATTTTGGGATCAAATTGTCATTAGTCAAGAACTACATGTAATTAGAATATTTTGCATTTTAAAAAAGTAGTTCTAATAAAAAAACATTTATTGCACAAAAGTATGATACCCCATATATCAAATTGCAACCCAAAATTTTCCTTTAGCTTCCCAAATCATCCATGTGTCTACTGTAGGAAATAATCCTTGACATGACAGAATTGTATGCAAGTAGCAGTGTTAGGACATAAAATCATCTTACCCAAAATAGAAATAAGGAACTTAGTACCTCCCACAAGCAGCAATTTGCATATAACACGCTTTCTGTACTATAGTAGAATTAAACAAGTATAGGTAGGTATATATACTGTAAATCAAATAATTATTCTGGAAATTGCTTGAGTTTTCCCAGATGTACTATATGAGATAGGTTATAGAAAACAAGATGGTTCTGTTTTGCTACCCGTTATTAGAATGATAGGTATGGTAGAGAAAAGGACTTGATAAACAAAACTACTGCAGTGTGCTGTTAAAATTCAATTACTGTACTTTCTGTCCTCCATTTCTGATTTTTATTCCCAAGGCTTTTCATATCAGTTCAAATCGTTCATCCGGCATTACTCTTTTTTTAATGGTAATATTTTTACAAACTTGCTCTGTATTCATTGTTGACACTCAGTGTTAGCTATGTATGCGTGTTATTAGCTGCTACATAAAATGAACTCCTTGCACCATGCGTTAAGCAAAAGAACAACAGTGGCTGGGGCTGAGTTTCTATTTCTCCGTAACAGAATGCAATTACTTCACAAACTAATATGAATTATGCATTATTCTAGAAATGGACCACACTGTTTGTAGAAATAAAGTCAAATAAAAATATTTTATTCAAACATGAGATCTGAATACTTCCCCTCTTGGAGTGGAAAAATTACCTGCGTAAACAAAAATGCCAATGAATTTGTCTAGTTTGAAAACTGTTTGAAGGGAGTAAAGGGAGGGCTTTATGTCACAGTGGGCCTGACATACAGATTTGCAACTTTCTAACTACCAGAGGATTCCTATCCTATTGTCCTAATAGGTAATATTTGGCCTGGAACAAATTGCTTAATCAAGCTTTAGTGATTTCACATTATGAGGCTAATGCATAATTTTGGTGACACTTTCCTTATGTCTATGTATATGTCAGGTACAAAGAATCAGGACCACCTTATATTGCAGAATAATTATTC